GATATTATTAGGGCGTCTGGATAACTCCTTGTATCCAGATGCCCTAATAATATACTACTACTACGTAGTAAGCCGCCGGTCATAAATGGCAACAAACACGCAAACACTGGCCATGTAGAGACAGAGAGTTATTACTTTTTGTTCCTCGAATGCTGAAGTTCATGTCCAGCAGTAACTCATCATTTATTAATCATCAAGTGTCTAAATAAAATTCAACATTTAAATGGATTCATAAGTTTATTACACTTTAAAATAGCTTTTACATTGTGTATCATTATGGATTGAATCACTTTAAGTTCCAGTCACGAATAATAACATAATGTACATACATACAGAGTAACGTGAAATCTTATGTTATTTCCATAATTGGACATAATTATGCAAACAAGAACCAACCCACACCTCGAGTGAAATTGAGTTAGGTATGTATTTAGGTAGAACACCAGACGTGTCCTTTACCCGCTCACAAAAAATCCTGGCTGTATACCAAGCCAAAACGGAAAAAATAAAAGTCTTTCAAGGTGCCAACCCTAAATAAGTAACTTTTTAATAGCTAAAAAGAACCATGCTGTTTAACTTCATATAATGTATTTTTTTTAAATGCTAAATGGATCCATGACACATGTACTGAAGTACTGTAGATCTTTAGCGTTTTCATTACGAAAACTAGAACATGGTACTCGTTAACTAAATAAAAAGATACATAATGTTTTCTATTTATTGCTATATAATATAATAGTTTCCCTATATCATTCTTAATGCTACACATAACTAACGTTGTTTGTCTCAAATAACTTACCTATTTATTTCTTCAGACTGTTTTTACAAAAGACTAATTATCTCGAAAGTGACATTTTGTGGGTTGGTTCTAGTTTGCATAACTATGTCCAATTATGTGCCTAAGACGTGGGTGCTACATGCATTAATTAGTACAGTATAGTGTAATAATGAATGCCTGCAAAGAATGAACACAACTACGGCTAATTAGCAACAAGTCTTGCTTGAAGCTTATAGAGGCCGGCGGCGTTAGAGTAGAAATAAAAAAAAAAAAACGTTACCGCAATACCACCTAGTGTTGCTGCACGTCATACTACCATTTGGTTATTTAGTCATAATTTCATTTGGTCATAGGATTCCCTATAGCAGCGAACCACATCGTTGAGTATGTTTGACAGTTGAATGTCGGTTACTTTAGGGATGTATTATATTTACAAGTTTGTATTAATTCAACTGTTAAAAGTCGTACATTTTTAATCAAATTATTTTAAAAACTCATGTCCAAACATCGCAAAGATCAAATGTTGCAAACAATCACCTGTTCAGAATATGGACGATGGGAAAATATGTATTAATGATAAAGTAGGTTGTATAATTATGTACGTGTATCCTTTGAATCCAGTTCGTTTATTCCATGCTTTGAATTCCTGTTATTAATTATGTTAATTAACAAACTACATAACTATGGTAAACTAAAGAAACGCCAGACATTGTAGTCGTTGGAAATACCATAACTTGTGGAAACTAACCTGCTCAACCAATATTTAGTTGACAATAATTTGAAACCGGATATGATGGCGCTAGTATCGGCTTCTATCATGTAGTTTGTAGAATAGTTCTTTAAAATTCCACAACATGGCGTTGAAATCCAACTTAACTTTTAAAGACAGAGATGAAACAAAAAGTAATCATAGTAAGTTTCATCGACCCACCAACGGGTAGGGGGATAGGTCAATAGAAGCGTTGATATGAGTGCGCGTGAGAGTGTCATGTGCGTCTGCGCTTTGCGGGTGTTGTGGCAGGCGGGGTGGAGGTATTCGCTCGTCTACGCCCGCGACGGCCGCTGTCTTCATCTAATAGTGGAGACTCCCACGCTGCAGAAAAAAGTTATACTAAAGCGATAACTGTAACGAATTTAATACGAAATATTCATCCACGACATCCCAATTAGATATCTGCCCCTGTAGCATGGCTACGTATGATAGTTGCGATGCGCGCGATAAAATTGAAATAAGCGCGCGCTATTGGCTATCTAAATTAGATCTGATTGTGACAGCCAATAGCGCGCGCTTTTTACAATTTTATTGCGCGAGTCGCGACTATCATGCGTAGCCATGCTACGGGGGCATGTATCGTAACCCTTTACACAACAAATTTATCCAAATATTTATTTTCAATAACAATTCATTATTGCTAGAAGCAAGCACATTAACTAATATCCTATGTCATTATGATAATATAAAGGTCGATACCCATGAAGAAGTTTGTATGAACCCTTACCTGCAGCGGAACTTCGATTCGGTTTCGTTTTATCTTTTTGCGAAGTTGATTTCCTGCTGTTCGAGCCATCTCTAGGACCAGATGCGTTTGAGTCTCGCGAATCCCTTCGTCGATCTGTTAAGTAAATTAAATGACGCAAAAAACTCAATAGAAGTATTTTTAATGTCGCCTACCTCACTTTAGAATTCGTTTTGTTGATATCACTCGCACTGCATCGAACCAGTTCCTCCGTTATACTTAAAGTAAGCTGGTAAATAATATAACCACAGTATGGCGTAGTAATACATGGCGCATGCTGACAAGTAGGATCCAATCCTTACATACACGGAAGTAAGAAACAATGGAGTGCTTTAAACCTCGATTACTATCGGAACCGCTGTCGCCAATACGCATGCAAAGAAATGATAAACACTACGAAATCTTAATAATGATTGGTCATAGTTTCTAATTTAAAAAGATGTAAATTCTGGATTGTTAATGTAAATTAAATTTTACCCAGTCGCTATATCGTAGAAAGTTCAATACTTTTATTCCAAGTTACGATGTTTTGATTTCATATTGAAATTTTAGTCAACGTGCTGCCATCTTGCGGTCAGTAGCTGGACTACGACGAACGAATAACAAAGAATGACACAACAAAACATACAAAGCAAAAATGGCGGACTTAGCTCAAGTAGGTCTTTCGTGACCTAATATTGGCATGCGTTAGACACTAACTAAACACTTCTACTGTATTTATTGTCATGTGCTTACACATTTCATGAACTGAGGTACAAATAAAAATAAGTAAAACATCTCAAAATTGCAGGTTTTTTAGATAGCCGTTTTCAAAGGTAAAGGAATACGTCCGAGTACAAATGATGGTGATTAATCTGAACTTATGTCCTGGTGATCTTACCATAATCCTTCTCAGATTTGGTGCTAGGTGTATCTGTAGAAGCGTGTGAGCTGCCGCTTTCTTTGCGAGACTTTGTTGATAATGCTGTCACGCTGTCTTTACGACTGGCAGTTGTAGTTGCAGTGCTAGCTGAATAAAATATTTAATAATTTAATGAAATAATTTTATAAAGGTTAATGACCTGGCCCTCGAATAAACAGAGTATATTTACCATAACATAAAATTATATACATACGAGTAGATAGATATACGTATCTCAGAATTGATTAAAAATAAAAAGCAAAATAGTCATATTTTTTTGACATAATTATGAAATATTTTTCATAGAACGAAATACAACATAATAATTTCAGAGGGATGTATCGTGCATGCTATGTGTATTACTTTCTTGAAGTTCAGGTAAATGTATTCTGCCTTTCTCGATCTTTGCTAATGCCACTACAAACAGTACAAGGGTAATACTTTTTATGAAATTCACAAAGTTCTATGTCTCACTCAAGGTGAATAACACAAAAGGTGTCATACATAGGGCGCACTATAAGTTTCCGGAACTGGCCACCTACATAAACAATATTTAAAAAGTAATTACAACATTTGAAAATGGAACTCTTTGGCTGTATAATACAGTTTGTTTCATCTGACTGTCACTTGTTTTTGCATTGTGGCGTCATTTTAGAAATTAGTTGTCTACATCACCATGGATTTAACTCGTGAAAATTTTCGCAGTATGAATTTCTACGACTTGAGTGTAATTTAACAACTCAGCGGAGCTTCGCTCGGCTTGAAACAGCTTTTGGCGATGAAGTACCATGCAAGACGACTATTTATAGCTGGTTTGCAGAATTCAAACGCGGTCGTGTGAATCTCAGTGACGAATTTCGTGATGGTCGCCCGTCCAATGCTGTGAACAACAAAAACATCGATGCTGTGCGCCGTATCATCAAAACAGACTGGCATGTGTTATACCTTGAGATTCGGGCATCTTTAGGCATAGGCATGAGTCAAATACATCAATACTACACAAACATTTGGGTGTGGAAAAGCTGTGCTCTCAGTGGATCCCACACAATATGACTGAGGTATAAAAACGGATCGTGTCTCTTGGTGCAATGCCATGGTTACCAGATTCAACGAAGGGGCATCAAATATGGTATGGGACATAGTAATAGGTGACGAAACATGAATTTATAGTTACGATCCCAAAACAAAGCAGCAATCGAGCGTATGGGTCTTTCAAGATGAGCCGAAACCAACAAAAGTGGCGCGCGTGCAAAGTACCTCTAAGCGGATGATTGCTTCTTTTTTAATAAAACTGGACACGTGACTACTGTTGCTTTGGAGAATCGTTGTACCGTGAATAGTAGAATTCATTCCGGAAAGTTATAGTGCGCCCCACGTACTATATGCATTGTTCTATTGAAACGTTTGCACTTATTGATATTCTAACACCGAGACAAACAAATAATAATTACTAGACATTGAAATTTGAATTCGGGTATATTTGGAAGATTGCCCATTAAAATTATTACACATTAAGATTACCTCAGAGTACTAAAAAAACCGACCTCAAAAATCATTCATCCCCTAGTTTGCTACCCTTAGAGGTGGAATACATTCTGCAAATTTAAATGGGACCACTACTCAGGTACTCTTGCCAATAAAAAGAATCTTCAAAATCGGTTCGCAAATTATCGGAGTTATCGCGTAACTTACATACAAGAAAACATACAGTGGAATTGAGAACCTCTCCTTTTTTTGAAGTCGGTTAAAAATAGTTCGTCTTGTAACATAAAAAATATGTTTTACCGAGATCTTTTGCATCGTATTGTCGTTCTATTTGTTTATGAAGTCGACTATCGAACAGAAAACAGTATAAATAAAGTAATTAAGTTGAAATTATTATTATTTTCGCATGCTTTCCCATCACCTAAAAATAAAATGTTTCAAAATACATTCAACCAATGATATTATCACAAAAAAAGTCTTAAAAATAAATGCATGATGTACCAAAACCAGGTTTTTAATTTATAATTCATCCACCTTTCTTATTCGAATAATTTATAAAGTGTATACCTATATGTATTATATCTATATTATGTATTCTCATACAAAGATCGACAATATTAAAATTTTGAATATACATTCTCCCTTATACACTGTCCTATATGCGCCAAGTTAACTTATACCTCCATGTTGTTCACAGCAATACATACAACCAATACGATATGAAAATTTGCAAGATGAATCTACCTTTCGGCGTATTTTCTTTAGATGCGGCGCCCCTAGAGCTGCTTCTAGGAGTGGAGACCTTAGGCGAAAGACTCCGAGTGTCTAGACCTAAGATTAGGGTTAAGGGTTAAGCTTTGAGAATTATTTTTGCGGCAGAAACAGATATAGGGTTGTTCTAAATATACCAGGGCGACCTTTTTATGTGCCGTATAAAATAAACTGGGTAATAAATGCCGGGGGTACAATACGTCGTCAATTTTATTAATATGTATTAAGACATTTTTAAGCATCTGTTTTGCACCCGCGACAATATTAACTAGCTGTTCATTAGGCATTATTTGAAGTAATAGTACCTTTTAGAGTGATTATTCACGGCGACTTTTAGACGCGCGTTTGCATTGCTACACTTGCGATTTATAAGCGATTGCAAAGATGCAAACGCGCGGTTGCATCGATACAAACGCGCCATTGCATCGATGCCATCGCTTATAAATCACAAGTATAGTTTGTATTGATGCAGTTGCACGTTTGCATCGCTGCTTAAAGTCGCGCGTGTGTGTAAAGATAGACGATTAGCTACTGCATCGCGTGTGTAACCACTCTTATTGATAGATTTGTAAATGACACGCGGTTTTAACAACACATGTTGCACACGTGTAGTGTTGCGTAATTTACTTTATCCTACACACATATCATAAACTCTCTATAATGTGTACAAAAACAGCAAATTATGACCAGCATAAAGGTAAACTGTTTTGTTAGAACAAATTTCCTATCTGTGAAAATGCTTCATAATAATATCGATTTCGATGTTATTATTATATTTAAATTTCGAACATCTCTCATAAACAAAACAATTTGATTGGACCTCAATTCTAATATCAGTCGAGATGAAGTTTTATTCGAAATGAAATGTCAATAGAAAATAATTTATTTTGACAATTTCACTCGTTACTTGTCGAGTGTAATATCATTGTTGAACGATATGATAGTTGGGGCCGATTTTAGTTTGTCTATGAATTAAAAATAAAAACTACGATTGTGTGATATGCGTGAGAAGTTTGAGGTTTTGCCGCCATTTTGCCAGTCGTCTCATGCGGTTCATGAACACATCACAGAGAACTTATAATATGTGTGTAGATAAAGCAGTGTATGTAACTGTACATAATTAGGCATTAAAACACTTGTGAGATGTTTTATGAAACTCGCCTGTCGGCTCGTTTCTTAACCCTCACTTGTATTTTGATGCCTTTCATTATGTAAGTCACATAAACTATTAGTTATCAATTTAATTTAATTATGATTTCGCAAATAGCCTGCATAAAGGCACAATTAGAATATTACCTTCGGTATCTTCTCCCAGAATGGCATCTTTGCATTTTTGTTTTATCAAAGCTCCAAACTCATTTTCTGGTAAGCTAAATGTGACTTCATGATTTGGAAATGGCAAGGGCTCTGTGTCATCTAACATAGCTATGTCATATAGAGTTTCTAGATGCCGCCATATGTCTGAAACACAAATTATTTCCACATTCATATGTATATATTTTATTTTAATTGTTTATCAACATGTTTTTATTGCTATGATATTATATGTAATTTAAGACAAAGAAAAATTCCTTTGACCTTACTAAACTCGAACCAGCGACTGTCGCCTCTACGTGGTTACCGCTCTGCTAACTGAGCTATAGATAGAGCTAGCAGATCTACAAATTTATGTATGTTCTTGTAGGTTTTTGTATTGGGTTTAAATGCAAGTTTTTGCTGTAGCGTCACCTGTTTAATTGTCCAGTTGAGACACATTTGGATCCTGGGCGTCTACTTTTGTCCTCCGTCCGAAACAATTACTGCCAAATAAGTAATACTCAACTAAATTAAAAGGCAACGCAAATATGAAGCTTCATTCATATCATGCATCTTTTAATTTGATTGAATATTACTCATTTCACAGTAATTGTTTTGGATGGATTTCGGACAGAGAATTAGAGTACAATGCCTACAGTCAAACTGTGTATACAGTTTTTCAGGAATTTAAATTCCAAAAAAAAAATTAATAAAATAATGAAATGTCAGAAATTATGAAAGTTTCTTCACTCAGCCATAGCTAGTGACCGGATGAACAAGTCTAATGCCTGATGGTAAGCTACACGTCTGTCCATAACAGTTGCAGTGCCACTCAGAGCTTTAAATCGCAAAGATCTGAGGTGCACTGCCACTGCGCCCGTCACACTGAGACATAAGTTGACAAGTCCAAGCCTGTAATTTCACCAACACTGTTAACCTTCAAAACCGGTACACAGTAATGCTGATATTACTGCTGGGTGGTAGAAATAGGTACGGTGGCAGTACTTCTCTGGACCAACTCTTTCACAAGGCGCTCTATTGCTACTAAATTACCTTTACAGCTACCAGAAAACTGATAGAGATTTGCTACATTAATTGCAAATGTAGTTTTATTGAATATTGTGATGCTTTTACTAATATTACTACTATTTTATTGTTTTTATATATTAACTATAATAAATAAAGAATCCATATTTAATCCACACCTCAAAGACTGTCAGTTGGTACCAAAGGGCCTACTATGTGAATAGAACTTTGGCCATCAATTTGTGTTTAATGCTTCTTTGGTTATATTAATGCTAAATAAAAACATTTTCTTTTCTAGCTGATAGTTATCAAGAAAGTAGCTTCAACCGAGTTTTAGAAATGTTTTGTTTATACCCTAAAACATGTCCATAATGGTTTAAACTCAGTTCAGGTACTGTAGCCACTGCCAAAGCGAACTCAATATGCTTGCTCAGCAATGTGTACCTCATCCAGCAAAAACTGCATGTCATGGAAGTGAAGGTTGAAAACTATATTGATTTTGCTTTTGAACGGCAGGTTCAAACAAAACTGAACTGCAACAATTGACCCAAATTGGTTGCTTTCAAGATCCTGCAAATGTGGTGCTTCAGTGAATTCTAGTATTGAAACATGTTCGCCTACAAAAAGTCTACTAAAAAAAAATTGCGCCTGCAAAGAACAGACTGCCGCCGTATGAAGGGCCCTTTACACTGCTCACATCCCCTTTCTTGGGTCGATTGTAAAGATCTGTATCTATAATCTAACCTCGAAAAATATTTTTTACTAGCAAAATAATATAAAAAATTTAATCACCATGTGTAGAAATTTCTTTAGTAATGGAATTTGATAGTTTTTCCCAAATACAAGCCATGTGAAAGTGTTTATTTATTCCGACCGGTTTGTGGTTCGCCATAGCGTAAAACAGTTGAACTTCCATGTCCACATCCCATTCTATGGTGTCGCCTGTCTTGGCCTCGATCTCTTCTTCGCTCGATACCATTTTAATAGGCACTATTAATTGATTTCTTGACAAAAGTTCATACACAAGAAAATAGATAAACAACCACCATCAAAACACTTTTCGACAGCTGTTATTTTTGTTGCCATTTTATATCGAAAGACCCAACCCAATATCATAGATTATTGTAGGGAAACGGAAGTTAACGAGTTTTCGTAGGTATTTTTAGTAGGTCGTTTAATGGCGCATTTACACCGGGTCACAGACTACTTGGTCGTCTGTCGACATTCGGCAGGCTGACTACCTACTTCGCCTTGCCGAAGGCGACACACCCAGTCACTTCGATCGCTAAGGGCCGCAAATTACCGTCCTCAGACAACTTGCTTGCCGCCTTCGGCGGGCTAGTGACAGTCGCCTGACCACTTGATGTAAATGCACCACAATTTCGCTAGATTTTCGACTAAACATAATAAAAATAATTGATTGAGCAAAGCCTAATAAATAACAAATAGCTAAAGCTAAACACGGTGCAAGGAGATAATAGTACATTAATTCCAAATCTAATTGACCACTGACTTCCCATACTAGATAAAATGCATTTAAAGAATAGACTTTCTGTTATTGTTTCTGGTTAATTAAAAAAAAAGAACGTCAAACATGTTAATCGACACTGTTGTTGACTATGATTTTTATGTTGCGTTTTTCACAGTAATATGAGTTCTTATAACATTTAGTTGTTAATTGTAGCACTCAACTTCAATAGTAGTAATGGCAAATCATTACGAAGTGCCCAATTGGTGAGTATTTCTTTTTATTTTTCATTCATTTTATGATATATTGGTCAGCCGTTCCACCGGTTTTTGAACACATTTTTTTGTCTATTCGCTTTTATTTCTAGTCTTATTAATATTTTGGAGATATTTCTCTAAGTACTTTTACTGACCAGTATAAAAAGAGTTGATAATAACTTCGAATTGTGACTAAAAGTCCCAACCTGACACCCAATTAATTCATATTATTTAATCATGTTGGTCATTTCAGGGCTGGCAAACCGCCTACAGGGCTACATTTAGATGTTATGAAAGGGGACAAATTGATACAAAAATTAATGCTAGATGAGAAGAAATGCTATTTATTTGGCCGGAACCCGCAAATGAATGATTTTTGCATTGACCATGCTAGTTGTTCTAGGGTCCACTCTGCGTTTGTGTACCATAAACATCTGAACAGAGCTTTCTTGGTTGATTTGGGCAGTAGTAAGTATAATTTGACATCTAACTTTATAAAGAATAAGTGTTTGTAAAATCCTTGCTAAAATTAGAGAAACTTATCTTGAGCAAAATAAAAATATAAGTTATAAGCATCGAAATAGGTAGATTATATGTACCTAAATTTTGAGGAACAGAGATGGAAAAAAACAAAATTTAAATAAATAATGATAATGCACACACTCATTGCCCCGCACTAGGGATACCCTGTGTCGCAGCTGTGATGGACACATAAACAACCACAAATTACACCCAAACTGTCAAGAGAAATAAATATAGGCGATACAAATACTTCTCCCGGCCCGAGACTCAAATCCGGGACCTCTGTGTGGCAGACCAGCATGGCAACCATTCAGCTATGGAGGCAGTTAAATGTACCTGTCTATCCCAAATAACATCAAATATTAAAGTGATTTCTTGAATCCAGAAAAGAGAAATCTGAGACAAAAAATACCAAATAAATAGTGAATTTAAAGTTACAAGAAAAAACTAAGATGTATGAGTGGCACAGTATAATACTACAAAGCTACATTGGTTGACAGATTTCAATGTTAAATATTTCCAAAAAACTACTTCTTTTCAGTAGCTAGGACCTATCCTTGACACTTTCCCTCACTGATAAGAAGAAAGTTTCTCATGATTCTCTAAATGTTCTCATGTACTCCCAGCTTAGCTCGTACTTCTATGAGTCTTGGTCTGGGTGCCACCTTAGTCATTAGGTCTACTAGTTGACTGGCAGAGCTTATTTTTTCCATAACTACAAGACCATCTTGATCAGCTTCATAAACGAAGAAGTGTCTTACACGAATGTGTTTAGTCTTCTTGATGAAACTCAGGATTATGAGCAAGGTGAATAGCAGCTTCATAGTCAACTTTTCAACTTTTAAAGTTGACACTTTCTTAATATCTGTCAGATTACAGAATATTCTCTGAAGCCATACAAGTTCTCTGGTTGCTTCACTAGCCGCTACAATTTCTGCTTCAGTTGTAGAGATTGCAACTGATGGTTGTCTTTGAAGCCATGATACTGCACCTCCTGCATGCACAGAGACACGCCACTCCAATGGCTGAACATCCTATCAACATGTCACCAGCATGGTCAGCATCGCTGTAGCCTTCTACAACTTCTTTTTCAAAGTTTGAGCAATATTTTATGCCAATGGTCATTGTTCCTTTCAGATATGTAAATATCCTCTTCACAGTTTGCTAATCAACTTTTGTGGGGTTTTCCAACTTCCTTGATACTATACCCTCTGTATATGCTAAGTCAGGACATGTTGCTACCATTAGGTATGCAAGAGCACCTACAGCTTCTCTGTAAGGAAATATTTGTTTCTTCCATTCTTCTACCCCTGTTGTTTCAGCAGACGATTCTTTTTGTATCGGTGTTGAAATAGGATTGCAGTTCAACATACCAAACCGTTCCAGGGGGTCTACTCACGATCTCCGTCCGACATCCGTCCGGAACAATTACTGCCAAATAAGCAATACTTGACCAAATGAAACGACGTGTGATGCGAATGAAGCTTCATACTGGAACTGGACTTTGTTGTCAACTCTAGTTGGACCTGTGCCATTGAGTACATAAGTGGCCGTGTTGATGAGTTGTACCCAGAGTGCTTGCGGTAACTCACCTCAAGCGTGCATCATGGATCTAACGGCTTCTACTAATGTACGATTTCCTTGCTCACTGCACCCATTTTGTTCTTGTGTGTATGGCATCGTAAGGTGTTACTGAATTTGTACCGTGCTTTTTCAAAATTTCTCTGACGGCTCTGTTGTCAAATTCCCCTCAGTTGTCGCTTAATGTTAATATTGTTTGGGCTGTGTGTCCAGCAGTCTTTGTCTCATGCAGCATTTGTATTAACTTATCTTTTACCTCATGCTTGTTTTGAATAAAGTATACCTTGTGATGGCTTGAGTAGTAGATTCTTTAAACAGTACACAATATCTTAATTTTGAAAAGCTATGCACAAAGGGTATGCATAAATCTGTATGTATTAATTCTCCTGGTTGAGTTGCTCTTTCCCTTTTTCCAAAGTTATCTCTATGACTTTTCTGTAAATGCAGGCATAGCATTTTATACTATCGTTATATAACTGTATTCCCAACTCACGCTTGACTAACTCTCGGACATATATTTTGTGTTGATATCCAAAATGTTCATGGTACAACTGTAACATATTCGAACTTGTAGCTAACTTCAATAATCTTTTTTATTCGAATGACTGTCTTCATATCCAATTTGTATAGTCCACCATATGGAACTCTTTTATCAACAATCTTCGTGATGCCTCCTATATCCAATTTGCAATCTCGAGTTGTTGATGTAAACATGCTACTTTGCATCTTATCTTGTGCAGCTAATACAAAGAACAAACTCTTTGTGAGCAAGGGTACAAACATCACTTAGTGTTATTTTCTCTTTGTTTCCATTGACATTTGATTCTACCACGATAGGACCTTTCCCTTTTGCAGGAATGGATGTTCCATCTGCAGTCGAGACTGTACGACTGCTGTCAAATTCTTCAAAGTCTTGGAGGAAATCCCCTTCTAACAGTAATGGGAATCGTAGCTCCATTGTCGACGTGCCAATCTAGGCTTTAGCTGTATGGTTTGCAGTCTTTCATAACATTAACAGCCATTTGTGTAATGTTCTGAACTTGGTTGGATAAAGAACTTGCTGGTAAACTCTTCGGTTTCAGTGGCCTTCCATCTTGATTCACTTTTGACAGTTTCGCACTCTATGTCCTTTTTCAGAGCAACAGTTGCATTTAATCTTTTTGTCCTGATCCCTGCTCTTGTTGTGCTTCTGTGAGCTAGTATTAGCAGTCAGTGCTTCCTGATCAAGAATGTTCTTACTCAACAGAGCTCTTTCGTATGCACATAAGTGGCTGGTTAGATTTTCCACGGTTCTGTCTGCTTTTTGAGTTAATAGCCAACTACTTCTAAATGGAAAATAATCTTCACCAAGGGTGTCAAGAATCTTATAGACCAATAGTAGTTCGGGTAACTCTTTTTAGTCTTGAAGCTCTTGATTCTGCTCGGTCCATATATTTTTAATTTAGATAAATGGGTTGCAATGTCGTCTGCTGGATCTCATTTAAATCCGAAAAAGGTCATGCACAAGTTGTATGATCTGTCATCACAATTACCATCAAAAATCCGGTGGAATTCTAACCATACTTCACGGGCAGACGTATATTTCATCACTTTCCGTAATGTGTCTTCACTCATGATTGTGGTGAGAAGGAGTAGAGAGCATTAACAAATTTGGCAAGTTCCAATCTGTATGTGTTGACATTGGCGACAGCTCTATCATCTGGCACAGAATCGGGTCTTTTTGGTTTCTCACGACTACATCTATAGCATTTGGAATGGTCCGCAATAAGATGCCTACTTTTTTGGGGAATTTATCGTTCCCCTATCGAACAATAAAATGGCCTCGTGAACTTCGTGAATGGGGATATAATTATATTTGTAATTATATTATCGTAGTTTTACAAAT